AGTTGAAACATAGCAGCCTGCGAGTGTGCGATAACTAAGAAGTCAGCGAGCGGAAGACTTATTGTGTGCTTTCCAGACATAGTGATTGCTGTAGTACAGTTATACTCGGAGTGTGTATTTCAGGGAGACTTGTATAGCTCCCGCGTTATCAGTACGTGAAGACAAGTGAAGATTGTGTTAAGAGATTTGTTGTAGGGTTTGTAAAGTGTGGAAACCCGTAATATTGTGATCATTAATTATAGCCGTTATTTGTAGATTGTTAAATAAACCCAATTAACCATCTCTACGGCGTCTTCGGTAACGTAAACACGTTACAATATTCTTTCAGCAAGACAGTGCAACTGTTGATAATGGCTGCCTTGTGCGACATTGTGTGCAACGAAATACAATTCATCACCTGCTATCACTTATTTTACTAAAATTCCTCCATGTGATTATCATCTGCGGGTAAGTCTGAAAGACAAGGTTTACCATGACAACCCCCCCTCCCTCTCATGCACCTGTGCAGACACACAAGATAACAAATTTAACCGTTTAACACGTAGTCAGTGCCATTTAAATACCCCTTTCCCTGTGTTGGAGGGTTAAAGTGGCACAGAAAAATTAATACATTTGTGAATTCTGGTACATATACCATCAAATTTTTATAAATGTAAGGAAAATGTTGCACTGACATGCAGAATAAAAAATTAAAGGTATTCACATTAAAATACAGTGTGATGCTGATGACACAATTATGAAATAAACTTTCACTGCATATCATTTGAGTACCTGGCAAACTATTCTTAGAACAGTCATGACCCCTCCTCGATTCTTGACTCATGATTCAACATGAGAACAGCCTGAAAATGGGGGGGGGGGAGCATTCATTCACAAAGAAAGAAATATACACACACACACGGGCTGTAAGCAGAGCAACTTGACATTACTATTATCCACAGACCTCTACTGTGGAACCACAAAGTTACAAGCTCTAAGCTGTCAAACAGTGAAAGTTCATGGTAGTGCAAGAACTACTACTGGTTTCCTGGTGAGAAAAGTAGCACTGTACATGTACTGTGGCTATTAAACCACAGTGACTATTGTTAAGTACCACATGCATTAACATTAAGGAACAGAATTCTGCCTATAGTGTGTATGTGTGCATTTTGTATGATTCTCAGAACAAAGAGTGATTAGTTCTCTACACAGCATTAAGCAAACTGGCCTTTGTAACGCAGACACTGCATGATTCTTGTGATAGGAAATGAATCTTTCAATGTTATTCAGAAGAAAACTATTTCTGCAAAGCTATTATCAACAGAGCTGACTTCAGACAATACTGCACTAAACAATTATACATTATTATGTTGTGTGCTATGTTCCACAACAACTCCCGTTTCCTTGTATATGTACCTATCTGGCCAACTGCTTTGATTCCTTTTGGTTTATTCATGTATGTATAAACAAATTCTGCACTTACTTTGGATGGTCTCGCGAATGTGTAGAAGTCGAATCACCAACTCATCAATGGCAGCATTAGAAGGTGCACAAATAAGAATTTTTGGAACATTTCTGCGGTTGGCATGCTTGTGATGCTGTTTCTGGCCATATAAAATTTGTAAGATCAGATTTACAATTACATGTGATTTACCAGTACCTGAAAAACAATTACACGTTACCTTCTTTACTTTAGTGGTGTAAAGTATGTATTCTACAAAGTCACTGGTACAACTTCACATTCAAACCACAGCATAACACACATCCAGTGCAATTACTGACTTTTTGGACATTATCCATTAACCTGTTTTTATTTAAACCAATGTTTGGGAGTCTGGATTCTGCCTTCATCCTCTGGTAAACAGCTTACTCAGTTGGGCACAATCAATGCAGCTAGTCCAGATATAAGATAATGTCAAAAAAGTCAATAATTTCATGAATATGCCATTGTGACAAACTTTTACATCTTATTTACATATCCAGTGATCAAGTGGATAAAGTGAATGCAAACAATGAGACACTTGCCTGGAGGTCCATGTATCATGCATATTTTAGATTCTGACTTCAAGCAAGCATCAGCTATTTTCAGGATGGCTTGTTTCTGGGATTCATTCAACTGATTCTGGAGCAACAAAAGAAACATGTTAAGATACAAGCTACATTACCATAAATGGAATGATAATATATAACCATCTGTAGAGTTCAGGGAATGCCTGATGTTTTGGAGTAACATTTCACCTCCATCTTCACAGCCAATGAGTAGCTTGTCAACTGCTTCTGCTGCTTTCTTGCTTGGCTTACTTTTCACACCTGAAGATGGAAGCAATATGTTCCTTTGAAATGTTAGGATGTCTCTGCTCTATACAGTGTTAAAACCTGGAAAGCCATACTCTTCAGTCACTGCTGTGAAAACCCCAAATCCAGCAGTTACACGTGTTTGTAAATTCATGGTGCAGTTTCTGAACTTTGCTGTTTTGAAACAATTAGTATTAGAAATGTGAATGGAACACAAAACTGAAAGAGAAACCATGAAAGAAGAACTGTGTCATTGATGTAGTTCAGTGTGAGAAATGAAATGGAGGTGAAATGAAGTCAGTTGCTGCAATCTTGTTATATTCACGCAGACATACTGCTTTGACTTCATGATATGCAATATCACATGAAGAGTTTTTAACCATATTCTACTCCATAACGTTCGTTTTATAATAAGTTTATAATTCATTGTATTTTTATACCATGTATTTTATAATGTAACAGTTACCAAGTATCCAGCTTTACTATCACAATTGCAGTTCAATAGTGTGTGAATAGAGTAATCATATGTTTGCCTGATGATGGCTTTAAAAGCCGAAACATGTAGCTAAGGTAATTTTAACCTTGACCATTATGTTGTGTTATGACAGACTAAAATAATAAATTGTATATAATAACACAACAACATACACAAAATGGAAAAAAAAAATTAAAAACAAGAACAACTTTACCTTTTTACATTTACCTTTACAGTTTACCTTATGAAGAATCAGGGTAAGAAGTAGGTGTTTTCACTAGTTCTACAGTTTTCGTAGAAGCTGATGAGGAACTTACCATTTTAATGAAGATCTACAGGACAGAAAAGTAAGCTGGGCAGGAGACAAGTGGCCAGTTATACTGGAAAAGGAAGATAAGCACTGGTACTAAGAGTCAACCAATGGGAGCAGGGTAAAAGTAAAAGATCCTGAGGTCCTGAAGAGGCCTGTACTTGTAGATATGAAGAGGCTCAGAGCAAGTCAACTATATGGTGTCACTTTCCAGAAGACTGTATTCTTCTTAGTGACTGTTGTTAGAACATCAACTTGTACAGTTCTACTGCCCTCCTGGTTCTGCTGTAGATCTTGTCTTCTTCTGAGCCTCTGATCAAACATTTCTAATAAACTATGCAATATAGTTTCTTACTTGCTTGATCAATGGCACAAACTGTTGCCCCTTATGATCCGGAAGAGAGAAATCCTGTTCTGTAGGCTTCAGTATATGATAACAAAGTGGCGAGAACGGCAAATACGCCATGGCTCGAAACAAACGAAGATCAGATTTTATGTATGACACCACCTGCAGAAACAAGTACATACATTATGCTTCAAATCAAATGGGCTAAAACATGGCTGTCAACTCACTTTACACCAGCTGGTTTTGTGTGGCCCATGTGACACTGAGAATGAAATGGGAACATCTAGTGCAATGAATAAGTTGCAAAACACAAGCCTTTAACAAGTTATGCAGTGGTGCCAGAACCAGTGAACTAAAATAAGCCATTCAGTGATGGTGATATAGTTAAGTAATGTATAACTGAAAAGTGCAAAGCTTTTGCAGATAACAGTCTCGCTGCAAAATTTGAGGTGTTCTTTCAGTTTTGTCAGAAGAAAATGCATTGTTTTAATAATATTTGTATGTAACATAACCCTAAATTAAATTTAAATAAATGCTTTTGATCCTTATGCATGCAATTTTTATTAAACTTATGCTTCATAGATTGCAGGGCAGATATTTGAATTGGTACATTGGAAAAATATATTTTTAACCTACTTTCCCCATTTTGAAAAAATAAAAGGAGGCTTATGAGATCATCTTGCTGTCTGTGTGTCAGCATGTGTATCCCCCTTATCACTGCTAGGCAACAGCTCTGTAAACATGTTCTCATGGCAATAAATACACAAGAGGCAACCAAAAAAAACTGTTGGACACATCAATTTCAACGAGGACCATGTTGCATCAAAAGAAAGTAGGTGATCAGTCCTACCCAGAACTTCTTGTTTATAATGCAGCCAGTAGGTAGGTGCCTAAGATACAATGTGGTCTCCATGGATTTCAACAATAAAAATTATCACTTACAAATTTCACAGTTTTAATAATATAGGTTTCTGACTGGTAAAACAATGTACTGTCACGTGTCACAGTGACTAAAGAAGGGGTTTGGATTGGTAATTAGATTTACTGACCACTTACAGGTCATAACTACTATTAATTATAACACTGTTTCTGACTTTCACACCACAAAGCACTTCACTCTAATCTCTTTAGTCTATCTTCAATAGTCTTCACGCATTTATAACGCAGGAATTATCAAAGTCTCACTAAATTACACACTTGCAATATCAATGTACTACAGCACATGTAACGTCACACACTAAGTCTTCTTCTGGCCATACTGCTGTTCCCTTGGAACTTCGGTACTCAAGTGAAGTTCATCTATTACGCATTCCTCCAGCTTCCAGCTGTCCACAGATGACCTTTGTGGTTACCCACAAACCTTCAGCAAGGACCTACAGAAAACATGTCACATGGTCTCTATCCACTGTTGTGTGACATCACTGCCTATGTGGAAGGGTGTTTACTGAGCCATTGCCTAGAAATGGGTTTCATAACCACGCTGTTCTATTGTTGCGTGTGTGTAATGCAGGATGTTCATCGAGCCGTTGACTGGCAATGCCTTGACATGTCACAATACACATTTCATGGGAGATATGACCCTTACCACTACAGCTTGAGGGTGACTGCAAACACGTAGAATAAGCAGTAATGGACAGCTGACAGTGGATGATACTCCAGTTTCAAAGTTAGGCATATACTTAATAACCCTTCCCTGCAAAATGTTCTACATTACAAAGGTCTGATTTGGAATCCCAGAATTTAAGTATCAGCAAAATGATGTTGATGCTGAAATTATGAGAAAAATAAATTCAGGAAATACCTGATGTTAGTCAGTTCAAAAACTGAATTATCATCATCCTACTGCTGTCCAAACACTGAAGATTACTCTACAGGTGTAAAATGTCCTCCTTACTTCGCCTTAGTCCCAAGGTGTTACAGAGGTCTTGGATGGTCAGTCTACGATCTTGCAGAATGAGATCACTATCTTTCGCGACATTTTCTGGTGTGGTGCCAGCTGATGGCCGTCCCAAATGATCGTCATCATCAGTTGATGTTCGGCCATTTTTTAAATGCTTATACCAGTCGTAAGTTTGTGTCTGGCCTAAACTGCTGTCACCAAAAGCCTGCTTCAACATTTGGTGTGTTTCTGCAGCAGTTTTCCCAAGTTTAAAACAAAACTTTATACAGACACGCTGCTCTCTCAGGTCAGCCGTCACAAAACCGCAAACTCACGGAAACACAACAATGGAAATACATTCACCAACAATAAACCCAAACACTCAACTTGACGCTGCTTGCAATACTCATTCAAGAAGGGTGTATGGGGAGAAACCTAGCGGTATTTCGATGTACTCATAACCATTTGCGTGAAAAATTCAAATTTCGGGAACTTTTGGATAGCACCACATATTCACTGTTACCACCAAGAGAATCTCCAATTCAACATACTTATTTCTGATCCTACAGTTTTATATCTTCTTCTGACATCCTAAGTACAATGGTGTCGAACAAACTAGATTCCATTCTGTAGTCAGAATGGAAGAAAGTAGTTCTGCTGGAATTTATTAACCTTTATTATCTGCCAGGCACAGTATTATGAATGTGTTCACAGACCACCTGTAAGCCAACATTATTACACACACACTCTACAGTGTCTGAAGGAAAGCATGTGGTGAAACTGACTTGAAAAGTGGAATTTGGGGGATTGGTTTCTCTACCATAACATTGCATCTGTTCACTGTGCTTTGTCCGTGCATGAATTTCTAGCTAAAAACAACGTAACTATCATTCTGCAACCCTCTCACCTCAGATTTAGTGACACATGTTGACTATTTTCTTTTTCCAAAACTCAAGATGGCATTGAAGGGAAGGAGATTTAATGATATCACCATGATTCAAGCAAAATCACAGGATGAACTTGCGGATTTTCAAAAACTGACTTTAGGAAATGCTTCAGAAGGTGACACAATCACTGGGCTCAATGTGTGAAGTCCCAAGGAGATGACTTGGATGGGAACACCATAGGTTAGGGGATACAAATTTGGTCCAGAAACTACCTGATTGCACCTCGTATTAACATAAAAAAAAATGCCATGCATGGCTGATATTCATCAAGTTACAAAGAAGAGGAACACCACATAAAACATAGAAAGATGAATTTTGAATATAAACCTTGTTTAACGACACTATTCCATGAAGCCGAGCCAGTCACAGCAGCAGTGCAGTCTAAGTCATGAACTGCCTTCACTGACTTGGACATCATGGGTTCAAATCCCACTTAGAGCATGGATGTTTGGTGTGTGTATGAGTTTATTCTGTGTTTGTGCTGTCCTGTGTTTAGGTAGGGGCCTTGTGACGGGCTGATCACTCGTCCAAGGAGACCTATCATCCGTGAGAAATGATTACAGAACTGAATAGTGGCCAGCGCCCTCAATGGGCTGGAAGAGCCACTGGAAAAAAGGCCTTGACAATGATGATGAACATTACATACAATTTGAGGAACAGCACTATATTTTGTGATCACTTACCTTTATCCTCATTGCATGGCTCATTTTCACATCATAGGGTCTAAATTTTGTCTGTAAAGTTAAAATTAGTTTGGTTGTTGGCCTTGTTGAATGTTTCACTGTGGAATGAAAATGAAAAATAAAAATTAAATACAAGAAGGATCAAATCAAGTATGAGTGCTGTTCAATTGAAGTTACTGAATGTGACATGATAGTTCCTTTATGGTTCACAGAACATCATATCATTTGTGGTACATAACAAACACAAGTTTGTGCTGCAGAAAGTTTGTTTCAGCAGGGTGTTTTCCTAACGAACAGGAACACAAGCTGCTGAAACAAACTTTCTGGAATAAACACATAGCTCTAAACAAGTGAACTACACCCCTTATGAGGTGGAATAGGATTTTACAAAAAATTTTAATTGAAAATTTTTATGGATTTTAAGTGGACTGCAATGCGTGATTTTAGCGCACTTCAGAACAGTGTAACAGTTGGATGCATTAAAACACCTGAAGATGGCCATCTATGGTTGAAACATGCTGTGTTGAGTGTTAAATGGTGAATAAACAATTGTTGCATCATAGACGGACTGTGAATATATAGACGTTTGGTTAAAGATTTGCAACAGGATGCTGAAATACAGAATTATAATGCAGTAAAGTTTTCCAAACACAAATTCAATAAAATTCAATATAGACAGTTTAATCTGATATGTGACCCTAATGTTATGGTGTATGTGAACTGAGAGGTTTTCTCAAATTCTTCCAAAGTTTCATAAAACATTTAATTTCAAGAATAATTACAACGATTAACCAAACTATAATAAATGTATTCATGCTATGTAAGAGGTGTGATCAAAACACACAGAGAATAAACCTCTTAAAATGAAGACAATGTACAATAGGGATGCAAGGTTACCCTTCCCACACCTAGCAAGCAAGGTAGCTCTCTCACTTGCAGAATACTGAACTTGGCAAAACACTGCTGCCACACAAGCAGCTGAATGGGCAGGTGTACCATTCCCACTTGTGCAGATGTTTATGGTGGACTGCATTAAGGAGACAACTCAGGACTTGTAATGAGAGATGCTGATCAAGGCCGTGATCACGTGGAACACATACCATGGTGAACCACACAGTTCTAAGAAAATTTCAGGGGGAATATTTTGATCAGACCTCATATTCAACTCCCAAATCACTACCGGATGCTAGAAGACAGAAAGATAAAGATCTGAATACTACTGCTACTGTCACAAATATATGATGTAATTCACACAAGAATAGGTTCACACTACATAAATTTCAAGTATAATACTAAAATTCTCCCATGCTAAGTGTAGGATTTAAATGAGTATACAAGGAAAGGAATGTGAAGTTCATATATCAAATGTAATGAACACAAAAGATCTAAGTCAAAGGTAGGCAAAAGCTATCTGACAACATTTTCAAACTGTCTTTATTGCCTGCATCCTGTTGTGTGTCACAATGTTTTTTTTTTTTTTGGTTGCCAACACAAAAAATTTTCAAATAAACCGATTCGCTGTGCTAACACTGGTGTTATCAAGCATGTGCTACATGTTCCGATCCATATCTGGATCATCAGAAGACACTTTCATGAATTGTTATTCAACTGTTCTAATATGGATGGATCCATATTAGTATTATTTTAAATATGATTCCTGTATCTTGTTTAAATTAGAGTATATGTCTCATAGATACGATGTGGAGTTTCCATGACACTTGTCACATATTAGAGGGTGATGAATTTGTTGTTAATGTTTGTTTTATGTTATGAATGACCAGTAGTGCAATTGTTGCTGCTAGTTCTGTACATATTTCTTCCCAGCTTTCTTATGCAGTATTGTGATGAGTTCATTTTTCTCTTTGGAGTGTTTGTGTGCTTCTTTTGTATGGATGTTTTCTTCCTGATATTGAATGGAACAACATTCAGCAGTACAAAGAACACATCCATACATTCAATTGAACCCCTGATGTCTTAACTGTCCACACCACAGCCCACAATGACTGAACTATCACAGTTCTCCTTATAAAATCTGTTTTTGGTAATATGTGTAATTCTGTCATTATTTAACTTTTCATGGTAAAAAGAAGTAAAGTCTTACAAAATGCAATCCAGTTGGCAGTCCACTTGTATCAGCCTTTCTTAAGATCTGTGTTTTGTTCCCATATGCTAACACTTGTCTAGCAAGTGCATCTATATATTGATTGTTTGCAATGTGGTTTATGACACCAATGACTTTGACATACCATACTCTCTTTATGTTCAGATACTTTTCTTCTTCAAGAACATACCACATCCTAAATACAGTACAAACTTTTCTACTGGACTCGTAATTTATTGGGTAGGTAGTTTGAAGATGGACACAAATGGAACCAGGTACATCAGACTGTGAATAGTAACCACAACAGGTACAACAATCTACTATCATGCAGCTCTTCAAATGTTTGATGCTTTCCCACAGCAGGTAGGGCAAAATATAGTTTACTGCAGAGTTTCTCAGCAAATATTACCTGTGGCCATATTTAAAAATTAAAAGAATGTTCTATACCACATAATGTAAAATTCTATATATGTAAAATAAATCCTGCAGAGGTAAAGTTGTTCTTGTGCTTAATTCATTAAACACCATGACATTAAGATGTGTGGTCTCTTTCCTTCGGGCTTTCCCACCAATATCCTACATGCTTTCCTCTTCTCCCCATTTGTGCTACATGGCTTGCCCACCTCATCCTCCTTGAGTTGGTCATTCTAATTATACTTGGAGTAGAGTACAAGTTATGAAGCTCCTCATTGTGCAGTTTTGGCCTTGGCCTTGGCCTTGCGGCTGTTGACTCGGCACATAAATGATAAAGAATTGAATTGAATTATGCAGTTTTCTCCAACCTCCTGTCACTTCTTCTCTCTTCAGTCCAAATATTCTCCTCAAATATATATTGTATTCATATACATTAAATAACGTGTATAACATGTAAAATGTAAATATACTGTACATAATGATAACTGACTGATTACTGTTGAATGTAAATCTGACAAACAATAGACCTGTCCTCTTGTCAGAGAGGGCACCCCACATGGACATGACAGTGTCAAGCAGAAACTAATATCTGGTCATGAGCCCCAACTGGTTGTTGGGGAGTCAGTTGCAAAATGACTTTGACTTTGACCTGGGTGTGAGAAAATGTGAAATTCTGAACTTACAACAGGTTATTAAATGGGAATATGTACATAGGATGTTCTTCCACAGTGAAATAAATCCATGAATTTGTTGCAATACTTGCGTTTGAAGAAACGAAGGAGAAAAATTGTCACCAACTGGCACAGACTCACAAACACCAGGCAAATATGGATATTCAATGAGTTTACAGAAGATTAGAAAATTAAGAAACTAACTTCAAGACTGGAAAAGTTTTCTTCAAGAAAATTACATATTAGTCATGAAAACAGCAGGTGGCCATGTGTGGTTGCACTTGAAAATTTCTGGTTTAATGCCACTAATGTGAAGTGAATTTTTAAAACAAGAGATTAATGACAATGCCATTGAAACTAACTTCGAACATGTTGCCATTAAATCTGAAGTTATGGAAACTTATTAAAGTTCCTGTCCTTCATAAACATATGGCAATACAACATCCAGTTTGCCACTAAAATAATTTAAAGCACTTAAATATCTAGTGATATTTTTTATCAGCGTTTCAGTGAACCCTTGCTATGGACTGTATCCTATCTTTCTTGATTATCCTTTACATGTATGTGTAGGTCCCCGTAACATCCTCTGACTGAGATACAAACACTTTGTAAAAGAAGCAGAAAATTTCAATGGGGAATGTCCCAATTAAATAACAAGGTTGGAAGCATAAAGTATATCATAAATAGGAAGCTTTTTTGTATGTATTTTATGAATTCATTTTCTAACTATGAATCATACCTAGAACAATGAGTCACATAAAGAAAATATACATGACATAGAATGTTTATCTCATTAAATAATATAGTGTAGCATGTAGAACAGTAGTAAGACTGCAAAAATAATGACGAAACAGTGTTCACTGCTGGGCAGCAGATTCTTAACAACCAACAATTGAACTACAAGATTGAGGAATGTACCGAGATGTTATAACCTGGACACTTTGGAGCATGACAGCAGTTGCGGGATATTCACCAGACAGTAATGGCATGAGTATAGAAACTGAAGAACCTCCAGTGTTAAGATCTGTTACTGGAAAACGACTATTCAAAGCAGACCGAGAAGACTCAGTATGTGCTCTAGTGATCTGGAGACTACTGATAGCACTATAATTACTTTGCAACAGCCATCGAACACTTGGCCCACCATGTCTACCCTGCAATACCCGAGGACCACATAAGGAGAAAGGCAGGCAAGTCTTCACAGAATGGGGTAAAAGACCCTGCCATAAACTCCAGCTGCTGCTGGGAGGATAGCAGATGCAGAACAACGCTCAGGTCCTCGAACTGCAGGCCAAGGTCCTAGCAGCCAGGCCTCACAAAATTAGCACCAAGACACTTTGGGGGAGCTGACAGCCCCAAAGACGGGTGAAGAGACCAAAGACCATTGGTGTGGAGCTGTGGGGAGCCAGACGACTTCTGGGGTAACTGCCTTGGCAGAAAACGACTGGGGATGGAAATGAGATGAAAGACCTCCAGGAAACACATGGGAACCAACAAGAAAATCCAAATGGTGACCAAAAACAAGAATGAGGCGAAGAGTAGGGATGGCCAACTGTTGGGAAACGAGTGGGGGCTGGCAGAAAAGGGCAGACACTGGTGAATATATTAAAGATGCCCTGCCATGTGCTGACTGTCATTATGGAAAGGGATGACCCTAGCCTAGTCACAGAGAGCTATCGACACCAGGGCGCACATGACTGTGACCAAGCCTGACATCGCCGCTGGACGGCCCATAAGACAGCCAAACCAACATTACATGCTGCAGACTGTATCTGGGGAAGCCCTCCCAATCTTGAAGGAAGTTTTCTTGACAATGACCCTAGGGTGGTGCCCACTGAAAATTTTGTTATTCATCACCAAGATCACAAATGAGTTCATCTTGGGGTTGGACATCCTGTGAGCATATGATGCATCTATGGACCTAGGGCACCAAACATTGTGTCTTGCAGAGGAAGAGGTATTGCTATGAAGCCCCAGCCTTCCAGCCTTCCAGCCTGGTAGTGGCCAATGATCAGGTGATACCTGCACAATGTGAGGGAGTAGTGATGGCTAGATTGGAAAGCCCCCTTGGAGTGAAAAATGGCCCAGTAGAACCGAGTCTGGAGGCCCATCCATCCGAAGGGATCTACATAGCCAGGAGCCTGGTCTGGGACCACTGGGAGGTACCCGTGAGGATCCTGAATGCTACATGATGCAACCAGAAGCTCACAAAAGGATCTGCCATGGCACACTGTGAGCCAGTCATGCTGGGAATTCACTGACGGATGGTCTAATATAGCCCAGATAGTTCTCCTCCAGAGCACAGTGAACAACATGCTGGCCGAACCATCAGTTCACTTTGGTGTCAATAAGATGCTGAATAAGGTTCAGGAAAGGTACTACTGGCTCCAGGCATGGAACAAAGTTGAGAAGTGGTGTTGGCAGTGTGACACCTCTGCAGCCAGTTGCAGCCCTTCATCAAGGAACTGAGGCCAAATGCATCAGTACAACATTTAGGCTCCACTCAAAAGGTTGGGCATCAATGCAGCAGGGCCGTTCCCACGAATCAACTAAGGAAACCAGTACCTCCTGATCATTATGGACTATTTCACCAAATGGCCTGATGCCTATGCCATTCCCAACCAAGAGGCTTTGAGAGTGGCAGAAGCGCTAGTTATCAACTTTTTCTGCCACTTCAAAGTACTGCGGGAGCCCCAGTGACCAGGGCAGTAACTTCGAGTCTCATCTCATACCGGACATTTTGCAATGCTTGGGAGTGAGCAAGATGCATACTATGCCCCTGCGCCTGCAGCTGAACGGCATCAAAACAATCGAGGAACACCTATGGAAGGCTCTCACATTGCATCTGAGGGATTGGGATGCATGATTACCAATCTACCTCCTGGCTTATGGGGCATCAACTCACGGGCTTGACCCCGGCTAGCCTAGTGTTCAGGAGACAATTCGACTGTCCTGTGACCTGCTGTCTGGGTCACCCTCTGACAAGAAACAACCCACAACTGATCACACAGGAAATATAGTGGACCATCTACATGAAATCCACAATTATGTTCACCAACAAATGAAGCTGGTCAGTGACTGGAAGAAAACTCATTATGATGGACTTGCCAACTGCGTGGGCTAAGACTAGGGTGACAAAGTGTGGCTCCATTGCACAACCCACACAAAGGAGAAATCACCCATCTCCAATCCTCATGGGAGGACCTGTACAAGGTAGTAAGCGCAATAAATGATGTGGTATACAGGATCCTGGGGAACCCCAGACCAAGGCTGATTGGTGGTGGTACACCTGGACGAACGGGCACTGCTCGGGCCAAGCGGCCTTAAGGAAGAAGCAACAGGAGCAGTTGGAGAGCAATCACTGTGACAACTGAGAGATGGGGGAGAAATGTGAGACCGATCACAGATGTCACTAGCACAGCCCCCAGAAAAGAAGAAAGGGCAGTATGCCAGAAGGCTATTCAGGATGAACAGTCTTACAGAGGGAGCAAAGTAGTGTTGAGACCCATTACTAGGTAACAACATGAAACAAACAATGAAACAACACTAACGGCTAGATACAGATTCTCAACAAGCAACAACTGAACTACAACAGAGAGTGTATTTTCTGAGTTGCCCATGATGTTATAACCAGGACAGTTTGGACCATCGGTGCAGTTCTGCGATATTTGCTGGACTGTAATGAGGTGTGCATAGAAGCTCAATAATCTCCACAGTTAAGATCCAGTACCAGGAAATGAGTACGAAAGCAGAGTGGGAAGGCTTAGCGTGTGCTGGTAAAGGGTGGAGATTGGCGATAGTGTTACATTACTTGCAGGTGCAATCTGTAAGTGATCAATAAATGCAATCTTCAATCAAAACCCTGTCTACAGTCACTCATACATGTGACATTTTCTTTTTAAATATTTTTCAGTCTAATAAATAAGTTACTACATACAGCTCAGTTTGGTTAAAATTACATCAAGATTGTAAGATTTGAGGCTTTCACGGCGGTGACTATGAAGAAATCAGTCTTCTGGGATTTGGCACCGTGTATATGTGGTGTTAACCAACGTTTCGGAGGAAACGTTCCTCCGAAACGTCGGTTAACACCACATATACACGGTGCCAAATCCCAGAAGACTGCTTTTTTACATCAAGATTCTTAAATTTTAGTAAGAATGGGCAATGTGAAACTTCAAGCTTTGCTGAAGCAGAATGCAGCTACCTCTTCTTTTTGTTTTGCTTTTGTTCTTGAGAATTTAACATGTCCAATGTGGTAGATAGCAGACAGACATAGACTTATGGGAAAGCACCAGCAGCATGCACTACTCACAGATCTCCTTGTGTACACTGGTCGTACCGGTGACAGTATCTTTCACGCTGTGTTTGACATATGCAAAAATGGGTACAATCCTGCGTTGCCTTGTACTTTGATGAGGCTCAGAGTTGTGGTGATTTTGCAAATCTTTGTTCTCTAACTCCAGTTCTAGGTAAACCAAGTCTCCAGTGTATGGGTGGAACCGCTTCTTGGACTCAAAATCTGACAGGACAGCTGGAATAAATATATAGTGACATTAAGTTCAATATACACAGAATAAACTGACTCACTGAATAAAAATAACAGATCCCAATTAACCTCCTAAAGCACTATCTGTTTTAACTTTGAAAGGCTTTGAAGTCTGCCCACAGTGTTTGTATGTTTCAAATGATCTGTAGCATAAACAGTATTTCCAATCAAGGTATTGGCCCTATCAACATAACAACAAAATAAAATAATTATCTTTTTAATAGAATGAAATAAACTACATAAAATATAACAATGGTTTAATTAATTTTGTTGTCTCACTGCTACATGTTCTGGCTGCATGGACTATAATCAGGTGGTTTGTAAGTAACTAAACAGAGAGAGAAATAAGTGCAACAAACCATCACTGAACTGATGGTTTAAATGGATCAATTTTTACGATGAAAAATGTGATAAATTTCTTATGTGAAATGATACAATATAAAATAAATAGCAGTGATAGCTTAAATTGTCAAAAAAAATTGGGTAGGGGGGAATATATGTGACATGGGGCTGGTTAAGTGTGCCATATGAAGGGCATATATGCACAGCAGAGTGACAATAGCAATGTGATGTCTATTGACAGCTGTAGTCTTACAGGCAGATTTGTATTCCTCTGAAAGCTCCTAGAAGTAATGTATGTACAACAGACAGTGCTGGGTGTAACAGACGCATTGTACTAAGCTGGTGAAGAATACTATGAACAGGAGATGTCACATAGCATGCAAGTGTGTAGTTCTTGACATCTCTTGGAAGAAATGAGTCCTGGGTATATAGTAGAGTGTAAGTTGTGTTGTGGTGGTTATTTGACATGGACATTTGTCTTAGGTGCAGATTACTGTGTAGCGGAATTCTCAGTTACTGTTGGAACTGCTGTGGTGTGTCCGGATGTTGCTGGTTGGAGCGCTGTGAGGTTGCCCCCCACCAAATAAAAGGTGGCTAACAAATCACCTGATAATGGTCCAGGTGACTGAAACATGCAGTAGTAAATGAAACAACAAAATTGATTAAACCACTGATACATTTTACTAAAATTAGAATTAACTTTGTTGCTGTGTCAACAGTCACAATACTTTGATGTGATAACACAATGGGATCCAAAAATTAATACGGACAGTAATTATTTCCCTGAACTGCATTAACTGAGTGGTCTATTTCAGGGGTCTCCAAACTTTTCAAACCGCAGGCCACATCAGGTAATTCAGCACTTTCAACGGGCCGGACAAAATGAGAAATTAATAACTCTAGGTATATGAGTTTTATTGAAAGCACAGAATTTCATAAACTAAATACAAAGTACGTGAGAATAAATTATCGTATATTAATGACGATAGACAGTAGTAGCAAATGCTCATATTCCCATCACAAATTATAATAAAACAATTAATGTGAATGATGGAACTCTTTCTGTGTTCTTAAGTCTGATTAAATTGAGGTTCAAATTTTGAAACGCTAATCACAAGTAGTGACTTTAAAGGTTCATCGAAAAAATTTGCCCTGTATTTCGACTTGATGTACTTCATCTGGGAAAAAGTTTGTTCACACAGATATGTCATCCCAAAAATGGAGATAAATTTACAAGCAAATTTCTTTACATTTGGAAATTGCTCAGAGTTCAGAAATTCCTTCCTTTTATTTGGCTTTAAAATGATAATTTTCCTGAAGTTCAATAATTTCCATTTGAATTTGACTTGGGACATCTGCAGCATCACAGTCAAGCGGATTTTGAAACAATCTAATTTCCTGAGCACTGGCATCCAAATCAGTAAATTGTTTCTGAAATTGTTCTTTCAAATCTGAAATGACTAAATTTGCAAACGAGGAAGGAAATTCAGCTTCACCCTTTTTATGCAGCTCTGCACAGTATAGCATATGAACAAAGTTACAATTTTTCACTTGGCTTTCCAGAAGTATCAACTTTGCTCTGAGCAAAACTGCGCATAAGTTGCCTTTAATACAAAAATGGTAATAAGTACGACACCGGCGGTGATGATGATCTGTTACAATTACACTGCACCACTGCAAGAAGCCTTGTGCACAAGACGGCTAGTAATGAACTGCTTGCGCTACCTACATTGCCGCAAAGTGACACTGCCGATCGAGGCCGAACAAGTACGAAGAAATGCCGTGCAGTATACGGTCCAGAATTAGTAAAATTGTGAATAAAATGGAATATCAGTACATTTTAAACACAATTTGGATTTGAAATCTATGAACAAGTATTTTTCTTACCAGTACTCATTGGAAATAAGTTCAATTTGCGCATTTCTGCACAATTTTTTCGCGGGCCGGATAAAATCACATCGCAGGCCGCATTTGGCCCGTGGGCCGTAGTTTGGAGACCCTTGGTCTATTTAATGGACACGGAGTGCGTTTCCTGGCAAGGCAGGAGCTGAATTTTTAAATATAATTTACAGGAAATTTATGCTACAAAGGGTTATAAAACACAGACCTACATGAATGTGTTTACCTACTAGTAATACTACTGGTGCAAACATTCCATAATCTGAGGTGGACAATCATCAACTGTGCTTACCAGACACATTTCTTGACCGAAGTACTTATATTTACAGAACATCAGATAAGCGATGAAGAAAAGTAACTACTTAGGGAATGTGATTAAACAATCTAAGAAAAACATTTTCTGTCTTAAATCTACACACACTGACTTGTTATAAATAATTTTTCAATAGAAAGTAGTTTTTGTTAAGCCAATCATAAGAGCACATCAAAACCTCCAGTGATATTCTCATTTTCTCCATTTTGGGCAATCCTAGCTTTTTAATTTTGAGAGATGAACATTTATTTTTACCATTAGTGCACTGACACTGTGCAGTTTGTGCTTCCGGAAAATCATAACATATTACAGATAAAGGAAACTGAAACAGTGAAGTCTTCTTAGGTCAATGTCAATGTGGAGCTGGTACTTGATGTTCCTGAGACCGTTTCTGTCCCCATCATCAAGCGTTTATGCAATGATTGTTGTGTACACATACTTTACTTTTGCACAGAGTGTTTGCCTGTCTGAGCCCAGACAGTATCACATCTACAAAACACTGAAATCCAAATGATCACACAAGAAGACTTCATTGGATACTGTCATGAAGAAAGAGTCAGATCAAAGCTGATGTTACTTTATTTTGTTCAGTTACCACAATAAGAAATATGGATACAACATACATTCATTGTCTTTTTGCAACATATTTAAGCCATCATCAGGTATTTGACTTCATTACATACACCGGTATTCGTCTGCTAGTATTCCTACACTGGCCAATGTTTACATATTGGAATGCTCCTTTTTTAGCAATATGTAATGCTAATATATATGAAGTGTGTGTTTACCTTTAAGATTAAATATTAATAGTTCTTATGTTTTTATCTGGGTGTAGCGGTTGTGTGTACCTCTTCTGCCAGTGTATTTCTTTTGGGTTTTCCCTATGTTGTACTAATGTAGTATGAGTTTGTTGGTTTGTGGGCACGTGACTGCATTTTTCTCCTTGTTCACTTTTCTTGTGTTTGGGAGAAGCGTTGTATCCCTGATGTGGTGCTCATGTTAGCTAACGACATCTCTCCACAGGTAGCTTGAGACAAGCTTGTTATGCAGAATGATATGAACAAATCACTTATTTTTGTAGGAACTAAAAACCAATTTTTTTTTTTCCTACAAAGTCACCTGTGTTCATGATAATGAAAGACAAGCAGGTGTACGATACTTTAAATGCAAATGCGCATTCATGCGCATGTGTGTTGTGTGTGTGGGTGCGTGCATACATTCATGCACTACTATGTGGCATAACACAAACCATCACTGTGGCTCCAGTATGTTGATGACACATTTGTGGTCTGGGCTCATGGCCCACAGCAGTTACAGGATTTCCTCAGCCACTTCAACAGTTTAAGGCTTTCCATCCAGTTCACTATGGAAATGGAGTCAGACACTGCGATTCCTTTGCATGTTCTGGCCACAAAAGTTGACAGAAATCCCACCCACACTGGCCAATACCTCAGCTTTAAATCTAACCATTCACAATGTGTGAGAAGAGGTTTAATTAATGCTCTTCACAATAGAGCTTCTATCAAATTCCAAGACCAAAATATGTTTAACGAAATTAGTAACCCAAGATGTAATCTTCAGCTCAATGGCTATTCCCAACATTTCACTGCCTCAGTTATTAATTTCAGGAGTATCAGTCATATGAATAAAGAGGAAAAGCATCTGAGCTGTGTATATCCCATATGTCAAGGGTGTTTCAGAACAAAGCACTGGGTATCGACATAACATTAGAATGATCTTCAAAACTAAACACACTCTTAGGAGGTCACTCATGAGATATGCAAGCAGAGAGCACAGAATGTCTATAGCATTCCCTGTGAATGTGGCAGGAGCTACATTGGCGAAATAGGCAGAACACAGGCACAGCTTCAAAGAGTATATTCTAGAAAAATCAAAATTAGCTCAACATGTCTATGAAGAGGGTCACAGGGTAGGCTAGGATTTTCAAAACTGAAAGTAATAGCAGGTATAAGAAATACAAGAAATCAGCCCACATGAATCCGATCAGAAAACCCAGCTGACATGCCCCCTATCTGTATCCCCCTTATCAGTAATGGGGTTAGGAGCTCACACGGAGAGTCAGTATGTTCCAACACATTCTACATTGGCTTTCCATAGGATTTCAGTCCCAAGTGTTCAGTTTTTACTCCACAGGTAGTGCTAGCAGAAGGCACAAAATGGTTTCACAACACACTCCATTTAATCCTATGCACTAGTGTTAACAGATCTGGTTTGCTGCATAAAATCTCACTTCCCTTTCTATCTTAGTTTCAGGTCTATGCATGCTTTACCAAGTTTTTATTGTTATCTTCCTTTGACTTAGCCTGGTCTCAGGTGTTTATACAGCTGTAGTTATAATGAGACAGGCTGTCCAGTAATTGAGATTAGCTCTTTCTAAGGGACGCAACAGAGTATGTTTCTTCTGCCCCCTCATCTGAGGATGGAAACAGTTTCTGAAATGTTGTTTGGGTTCTTTAGGTTTTTAGAATAGTGGAAGATGGTAAAGGTCTAAGAAGCCCGTAATTCAGGCTGCATACAGGCCTGTAAAAACCTTAAAATAGATATAAAATGGCTCAAAATTAAGATAAAACAAAATGAACTAAATAAAACTGTGAACACCACCTAGAACGTCAGGCAACACGCCAAAAAGGCGGAATGTTTTTGGTTCTTTATTATAAAGTGGGCATTCCTACACAATGTGTAGAATGGTATGGAGATGTCACAGTGGATACAACTAGGTGTATAAAATGACCGTGACCAATACAAAGGTGCATGACATAACCTCTTCAGCCCTGCTGGAGCTGTAGAAGTGCCAGGCTTGCACAGTCAGTTTCACCATTGGTAATTTGTTGTCCACCATGTCCATTCATCTTGCCATGATGACAAGACGGTGTGGTGAAGATAGGCGCTAACATCTACGGCTTGGTCTGATGCTAGACTTCTGACCAGAGCACCTTCTTTGGTAGAATCATAAGTGGCCTCATTCCCTAGCAGACTTGTGCTGCCTGGTAGGCAACAACTGAATTCTATGCCTCATGGAGGTGAAATATCTGCAGAAAATTCAAAACAATCAGCTCGTCAAGCATGTGCCCTTGCAGCCTCTGCAGAGCACTTGGGGAGGTAAGGAGGTAAGACTGCTGAGATTGTTACTGAAGCTGGCATAAACTTCAGCTGTATACAAGCTTTCAAAGCTGTGGACGTGGCATCTGAAAACCTGCTCATGTCTGAAGGTACATCCAGTTGATCCCTGAACAAACACTCCATCATTATAAACCACTGTGTAGTGAGGACAAGCAGAGATGAGCCCAGCAGAGAAGTGATGATAAGTATGAGCAGATATTTTGCCTTTCACATATCTGACGAATTGAAAAACGCAAGATGTATGTATAAGATAAGAGTCTACAAGGAACAATACAGAGTAAGTGGATATAAAAATGCTCAAGGAGGTGGTGACATCATACACCTACAGGATGTGGGGCCCTGGTATTTAACTCTCACCTCTTGTGTGTTGGGTGAAAGACCCACACTATATGACAAGTGATAAGTGAGCTGTGTTGACAGCTCTGCCATGTAACTGCAGACAGAGAAGGAGATTTCTCTGCAGGGAGAGTGAAGGTTCTCCAGATTCCACATAAAGACACCAGAGGGCAGAGTGGAAGGTGCCAGTGACAAAACAAATCCCAGAGGTGTGACCACTGTCTGGGATGAACAGTTTAGACTTCATTTCAAATCCATAAACACAGCTACCAGAATCCACCTTTGAGCAGATCAGGGCACAGTAAAGTCAAAGCATAACCATCTGGTCTCCACCCCAAGATATACTAGATAAAAACTATTAAAATGTTAAGTGACCATTTGCACTGAACACAGAACCATCATACGTGCAGTTACCATGAGAGTCTGCAGTCAAGAAGAATATGCCGACACTTTACAGCTGGAGCAAATGGCAGAGTTCTGTTGTTGAGGAACAGAAGCACAGGAGGATGTAAACCCACAATCATGTGATGTGTATACACTGGGTCTTTGCTGCAGAGAAGAGGAACAGATCCATGGGATGATGTAAACCCACAATCATGTGATGTGTATACACTGGGTCTTTGCTGCAGAGAGGAGGAACGGATCCATGGGATGATGTAAACCCACAATCATGTGATGAGTATACACTGGGTCTTTGCTGCAGAGAAGAGGAATGGATCCATGGGAGGATGTAAACCCACAATCATGTGATGTGTATACACTGGGTCTTTGCTGCAGAGAAGAGGAACAGATCCATGGGATGATGTAAACCCACAATCATGTGATGTGTATACACTGGGTCTTTGCTGCAGAGAGGAGGAACGGATCCATGGGATGATGTAAACCCCCAATCATGTGATGTGTATACACTGGGTCTTTGCTGCAGAGAAGAGGAACGGATCCATGGGAGGATGTAAACGCCAATCATGTGACGTGTACACACTGGGTCTCTGCTGCAGAGAAGAGGAACGAATCCATGGGAGGATGTAAACCCTCAATCATGTGACGTGTACACACTGGGTCTCTGCTGCAGAGAAGAGGAACTGATCCAAAGGAAGATGTAAACCTCCCAGTCATGTGCTGTGTATACGCTGGGTCCTTGCTGTGTAGAAGGTAAATTAATTTAATTTAGCCCAGTGTGACAGATGATTGAGGGTAATCTGTAAACAATACTGTACTGCAACCATACTCTGGAAGAGTTATATAAGTTCAGCTTGGCATCAAGCCTCGTAACGTTCATGACCAGTGTTTATAACCCACTCTCCCTATTTTTTTTGGGGGGGGGGAGGAAAAAAGCAGAAAGAAGAAGAAGAAGAAAGTAGGCCTATGAGACCACCAGGCTGCATATCCCCCCTCTCCAAATCAACTTTTGAATGCCTGAACCAATCTTTATGAAACTTGGTATACATATTGGCCCATCTCGGTGGCATAATTCATAAATTCCTCACCACAATGATAACTACACATGCAATACAAGATTCGTTGGATATGTCATTTTCTGTGTGTTCCACATCATATCAAAGGGAAGTAGGCTATTAGCTCTTCCCAGAACTTTTATTTTGTGCAACTGAACACTTATGGTCATAGCCCTCTTCTCTGACGAGAGAATGAGTTTGTCTCTTATGGATATGCTTGGCCTTTGTCAAGTGTACATATCGCACACAGAGCATAATATTGAAAAATTTTCCCCTTACAATATATGTCTTCTGTCAGTCTAGACTTCACAAGGCAAATCATGCCTATCTTATTTAGCTTATGCTTCAATGGCAGCTTAGTCACTTGAACAGTCATCCTGCAACTGCCTCAATGATTAACTTACCAGACTCCAAATACTTCTCATCTTATCTCCTCTGAATATTAGCAAGCAAATTATCGGTTATCTGGTATCCAAGCATCCAGGAGTCTCAAGAAACTGGCAAAATTTTCAAGGAAAATTTGAATAAAGTTGTGATGTGAATAATGTTATATTTTAGCGTCCTGTTGCACTGATTCATGTCCATGATTTATTCTGACCGTCTTACAGTGCATACATTTATTCACCTTACTCTTCTCTCTTGCACTACATGTTTCAGCACTAAAGTGCCATCTTCAGGTGCTTTTCGATGTACGTCGAACTACTGCATTGCATGCCTTGTTGTCTTTATACTAAAATAACTAAAATATATATTCGTCATATATATTGCTAAATTTTAAATATTAAATTTGTGATGTGAATACATTCACCCATCATGCCACCACTCAGCACTGCTAATCGTCCTCCCTCCAAGAGATGCCATTAGAGACTAGTCAAATTTGTGATTGCTACAGTACATACATCTGAAATCTTTCACCCATCAATGTGCTGTTATCTCTTGGTTTCTGCAATGGCCATTTCTTATGCAACTAGCAAATCAAATTCCCCACACATGCCTGTTTACTGTAATCTACTTGCTCTGAAAGTTTAGTGCTGAATATATTACATAAAGTTGTCTTACCATGGCAGGTTATGTGCATAAATGGCTTCTTATTGGAAGTGAGACGGGGAACTGCATCAACCTGATCTATTCCAACAACCACAGGAGCTTTCCTGTAACATAAAGGATATATAACGGAAGTGCCTCTACGACACTGAAAACAACCTGTATGAAGCAAAAGGATGTAGAGTAAGTCAGCCCCTATTTTATTCACACGGAAGTGCTCTAGTTTTGGAAAGTTGTCATGTGAGTGAGGAGGTGGGAGTGTATGCATGGGCATTGCTGCCCCAGCTGCTCTAGCAATATGAAGAGCTGAGTACACTCACAAACGTGCGGAACCATTCTACAAAGATGACATATGTAAAAGAGCTATCATGAAGAGTCAGTCTGAGCCTGAGTGCGGTGGCAGGTGAGTTGATTGTGACTGTGGGATTGGAAGCAGTGTGCAGCAGTCACGTGGTGCGAGATGCAAGTTTGTGAATGCAAAAGGAGAATACTGCAGTAGTATACAGTGGTGGACTGGACAAGGCCTAGATCATGATACTAAGTGGCTACTGACAAACTGACAATAACTTCTCACAAAACACAATAAACATAACATTACATTCATGATAAACTTAAAGTGTACACTAAATATGGGGAACTGGTGCTATCACTCAACTCAAACTTTTATTGTCTTGTCTCCTACAAAGAACATACACGTGATACTTGATGTTCTCACAGTGGTGGCTATGAAGAATGGGGTGTGAATCCATGCAGATTCATAGAAGTTCACCAGTGCAAGTGTCACGTAACTTCGAACAAGGCCAAGAGTAACCTTGGATGCACAGAAGAAAAAATTTCAGACAAGGGGATGGAGGGTGTGTGACGTGACAGGCGGCCAGTCAAAGAACGAGTGTTAAGAAACTCCTCCCACCACAAGCTATGCGCGGGATTTGACTATGAATGTGGGGCCTTGTTCGAAGTTACGTGACACTGTCTATATAACACACTTTTATCAGATCCCTTTATAAACAATTTCCATACTCAGGTGACACAACATTAATCCACAGCAAATCAATGTAAAGGGAGTTCACCATACTTCAGTAATTCAAGCATACACAGAATACAGATTAAAAGAGAAAACACCTAAACTGACCTGGGGTGAGATGGATTGCTTTCACTTTCATTGGTGATACTGGACCACAACTCAAGAAGATGAAGAGGTGTGAGAACCCTTAAGTAGTCCTTATATGAGACAAACGATGATGGCATAGGCCACAGTTTGTCTCGATGCACAGGAGGTGGATGTCCAGGGGCCTTGTTCTTCTGCTCCTGTACATACATTTTGCAATGTTATGTTCATACATACAAAACTACTGGCATTTCAGAGTTGCTACATAAATGGACCTCTACTAAATCACATCAATATTTCTCTCAAAATCCTAAATTTTTGTGTCTGATCATCTACTGTTTTACACAGTTGTATATGAACAGCAGAAACTCCCTGCCTCTGGGTGGAAGGTGAGAGAGCATTTAGTTACATATACAAATGGAACCCTGCAACAGGGCAGTTCATCTATGCAAAATTCTGCATTACGCAGCTCTGAGCCGGGAAGTGAAGTTAAGTGACAATGTTTTTGTAGTTTCTTTCAACAGTTTAAAAGAAGGATCGTAATTGTGGGAGCTAAAAACTCTGAGGTAAAGTAGGTGCCAAGCGTGTTAACAATGTCTGCCTTGGATGCGATGGCATTACTTTGCAATGATATGCCAGGTATAGAAGTGCAGTTGTATCCTCCTGATATAGCAGTATTTTTCTCCGGACAACACTTGAACGGGGAGACTGCGAGACCAGAAGCAGTCTCCCATGATGTGAGCTTGGTTTCATACATGACACACTTAAGACTTGTGCTTATGAGCATTCTTTCGGGTATGGATTGCATCACAACATTCACCTCTCCACCAGGAACAGGAATGGGTATGCACCATGGTCTGACTGATGACTGTGGGAGGAAGCGTGAAGCAGTTCAGTGCTGAGTGCTCATGAAATATTCCTCCATGGAATCAAGAGATGGAAATGTTTGGTCCTCAGAACTCACTGACTGTGAGAAAGCTCCCTCGACAGAGGAAAACGTATTCATAGTTGAGTATTATTTCCGCTCATACAGAAGTGGCTGTGAAGAGGGACTGAGTTTGAAAAAGGTGACAGAACAATTCCAAAAGAGATTTAATAAGATTGCACCAAGTAACACAGTTATACTGTCTATTGTTACTAAATTTCGCTGTACTGTGCCAACAGAAGGGGAAGTCTGGTCGACCATTGAGGATGAGGAAGGCAATGCTCTTACCGTCACCCAAGAATGCTACAGGGACATGGTGATTGGACCATTTCTTCAGAATTTGAGAAGGTTCTGTCATGCAAGTGGCCTTCACATGAATAGACAGTGGTATCAACAGGACAGGGCAACCAGCCATACCGCTCGAGAATCTCTAGACATGCTGCAGGAAAACTTTCCAGGGCCAATCATTTCAGGTGGTACTCACTTCCCATACCCGTCCCATTCCCCCAGTCTTACACCACCTGATGCCTACTTGTGGGGAATGTTAAAGAAGAGTGTGTTCAACTGTGAAGATCCAGCAAGAACTGTGTCTGCATTACATGAGCAAATTGTCTCCTTTTGCAGGAGTCTGCAGCAACCTTTGTTCTGGGATATGATTGAGAATCTGCATGAACAATATGAACACTGTCTACAGTCAGGCGGTGCACACTTCGAAAACTTACGTTACCCATACTGTGGTAAATCAACATGCTAATGGTGTGTATGTTAGTTTCTGTCAGGAGAAATAAACTCACAGACGACAACAAGGTAATATTGTTCGTCTTTTCATTTCAGTACTGTAAGTTTTGGCACATACTGTACTTCAGTCACTGTTGTGGGAATCTGAAATCTAACATGTATTATACTTACACATTAAAACTTATTACTGGGATTTAGATATAATGTCNCCCCCCCCCCCACTTACTCTCAGTACTACATACTACTTCATATGCATGAGTGCTAGGAATGCCATGGTAACATACCACTAAATCTCACCAAACATCAGGTCTGAATCTTAAAAGAGTTTACAGTAACTAAAACACATGTACAGATGAATTTTAAACATTTGGAGGTATTTTCACACCCACTATGTTGATACATGTATTGATTAAAAATATTTAACAACGAAGATAAATTCTTTGTGATAAGCTTTGATTCTACACAGCTCATCTGACTGCAAGGGTCTACCGACTGTCCAGTTAAAAAGAAGTAAGCAATATATAATCTCACCAACAGTTCTGTATCATGCAGACGGTCAGTGGCACAGAATGACCAGCTACAATGGTCATTTGGTTCAGAACACTATGTATCACCCCCTGAGAATTCAGTGGGAAGTTTCATAATGTTTTATAGAAGTTTTTTCATTACTAATGCCCCCTCTTTTCTCCCATGTTAACCTTGAGTCCTACACATTATCGAATGATGCATCGAGGCTGATGGTTATGAATGAAGAATGAATGTATAAGGGGTGGGACTTCTCGGCCCTTGCACCACGACCTACAGTGATCTATTGTGCTTCCCCTTTTGATTATCCCTCAGCAATCCTGCACTTCGAATGAAGCGTAGGATTTTGTACGTGGGGACGTCGAAATAGTCACTTGGTTCCATAAAGTACTGACCCAAGTGACATAATCTGAAATAAGCTATGGCCTCACATTCACACAGGATGTGTATGGCTGTTTCATTTTCTTCTTGACACTCTTCACAAGTAGGACTATCACTCAGTCCCAGTTTGAAGAGATGTCCTTTAGGGTGACAGCGTCCTGTAAGTAGTCCCACCACCCATCCTAGCTGGTTCTTGTTCAATAGTTCCTTCGCTCTTTTAGCCGAGGGTCCTGTTATGAGTCCCTTTGCTTGCCTGAGTCCAGTCAAGGATCCCCAGTATTTCTTGTGCTTCATATCTGTCCAGTCCCTGATTGCCTTTCTGGCAACTCCTATAGAGATGCCATAGGCTGGTTCAGGTCCTATAAATGAATGTTGAGCTCCAATCTTAGCCTATTGAGGCTGATGGTTAAGGCCAGCTCCAATGATTAACACACACAAATAGTCAATTATAAAGTGACTCCATTATACATAGTAACATTTGTCTTATTCTGGAAGATTTACTTGAGGAATCAGGACAGATCAGCTGTTAATACTGATGGGTTATGGGCTGGATGGCAGGGTTTCATTCCTGGCAGGGAAAAAGAGATTTTTCTCTAACCCACAGTGGCCAGACCAGCTCTACGGCCCACCCAGCCTCCTACATGATGATCACTGGGGGTTCTTTCCCAAGGGGTAAAGCGGCCAGGGCGTGAAAATGACCACTTACATCCACCTAGTACCGAGGTCAAGATCGGTTGAGCTACTACAACCACTCCCCCAAACATCTTCATGGCTTCATGCTTAATTTAGTAAGTCCAGGGACAACTTTACCTCAACAGTTATTTGGTTTGTCACAATCTTGATGTCAATTTTGTTTTAGTTTACTACCGCTACAGATGCATGCTCTTGCACTATTCTGTTCTTACATTCACTAGTTTGTGCCTAACAGTTCGGAACCTGCTGCTTGCTTCCCATGTCACATGCTTTTTCACCACACGTGAAAGATGCACTTTGCTGCCCAGTGCACTCAACTGTGCTCCACATCCAACTGCACTGCCTCTTTTTACCTCATAACTATAGCTTATTACAAGGTAGATTTCAGGATCATTCAAACACAGATATGAAATATGAGCCACACTGAAATTATTGAAGCTGTGGGAAGAGTTTGGAAGTCTGGAATCTTAGGCTGTGATGCATACAGGCAAGCAACATTCCAAAACCACTCAGCTAACCAAAAAAATACACTACACTATGCATATTCACATCAAAATATTATGAGTGCTCACAGAAGGCAAAGAAGCAAAAGTAAAAGACTGCTCTCTCTCTCTCTCTCTCATGACCTATTACATAACTTATGTCAATGTAATGTGTTACTTAGGCGGCAGCATAGCTCAAGCGGTTAGTCGCTGGCTTCCAGGGTTCGATCCCGGGTCTGGTCAAGTGAGATTTGTGGTGGACAAAGTGGAATTGGGGCAGCTTTTCTCTGAGCACTTTGGTTTCCCCTTGCCAATCTTCATTCCACCAATTGCTCCACAATCACCCTCACCTATCATCTGGGGCTGGTACAATAGGCCAGAAGTGGCCGCAGTACAAGGGACTTAGTCCCACCCCACTAGCAAAAAAATAAAAGTATTACTTGGGAGAGATACTATTCAAACTAAAATTCTCTCTCTCTCATTGATTGTGCAACTTTTCTACCATGAAGTACGGGAATGCTTGTAAAGCACTAGGATGCTTTCACTGAGTGCACACATAGCACACTGCTCTTGCTGATAAGGTATTGGTATAAAGAAAGTGAATATAAGCAGCAATGCCTCCTATTCAAACTCTATTTTAATTCTTTGGGAATTAATATAATTCAAGCATTTGTGAGTCTTTAAGTTTCAAGACTGAGTTGAGAAAATAAATCTCTGTTCTAATACTGATCTTTCATTCATATATTGCTGCATCTTGTTGTGTAAATTACTGCATATGTTTATTATATTCCTACCAACACAACACTATTTCCAGCAAGTAGAGTTTTGGAACATGTGTGTAAAGTGTACAACACACCAGTGGGTTCACTTGGTTCACCCGGAAATTTATGCTAAGCACAAAAATTGTACTCAAAAAACCAGATCTGAAGATGTCACACATATATCAAAACACGTCATCCCAGACAGCAAACTCTCCCTCTTCAAAATGGTGTTGTGTTGACAGGATATGATATTATCTATATCGATCTTTCAGTCTCAGATTCTTGAGAAATTTCAGATAATTATTTTTGCTTTGCACAAAATCAGGCGAACTATCTGATCCATCACAATGCTCATGGTTGGCAATGCATCAAGTTATCACTAAAATCTGCCTCCTCCTCCTTCGACAAGACATGACCTTTAAACATATTTCTTTAATACAATAATTTACGAGTTTGTTAAGCAAAGAAGGCCCTAATATCAACAGGAATACATATTACTGCACTGTAAAAATATGGCTGACTTACTTACTTATGGAGCTGAGCCCTTCTTGAGGAGAAGCCAAATCTGCAGCTACTCAAGAATTTCCCAGCATTTTATGGAACCCGAAGGTTCATTACCGTGTTCACAAGAGCCCTCCACTGGTCCCTATTTTGAGCTAGATCAATCCAATCCATACCATCCCATTATATCTCTCTAAGATCCAATTTAATATTGTCCAACCACCTCCGCCTTGGTCTTCCCAGTGGTCTCTTTCCTTCTGGCTTTACCATCGATATCCTACATGCATTCCTCTTCTCCCCCATTCGTGCTATATGCCCTGCCCACCTCCTCCTAGATTTCTTCAATCTAATTATTATGAAGTTATGAAGCTATGTAGTTTTCTCTAACCTCCTGTCATTTCACCTCTCTTCAGTCCAAATATTCTCCTCAACACCCTGTTCTCAAACACCCTCGGTCTATGTTCCTCCCTTAATGTCAGAGACCAAGTTTGACACCCATACAGAACCACAGGCAAACTTATAGTTTTGTGTATTCTAATTTCTATGTTTTTGGACAGCAGAAGAGAAGACAAAAGGTTCTGGACTGAATGGTAGCAAGCATTACCTGAGTTCAATCTCCTCTTAATTTCCTCCTGAATCAGGTTTTGATTTGTTACCATCGTTCCCAAATATCTGAACTGTGCCATATTTTCAAAACATCTGTTTCCTATCTTTATGTCATTATTTTGCTCTGCGTTTTGGTGATGAGACAGCAACATATACTTAGTTTTCCCTGTGTTTACTTCCATACTGCAAAAATATGGCTAGTGTTATAAACTGTGATCACAGTGCAAAAATTGGTGTAGCAGAGAAAATTTTCATTCCCATCTTGATTCTCAAAATTGTTCCAAATTTTTCTCTAGAAATGAAAAGTCCATCTTGGACATGCCAAATGTATTTACAGCTCACCTCTAGCCACTTAGGATTCCAGCACAGAATATCATATAGAACTTCATCCATATCTGGTCTCTTTTGTTGTAACTGGATATTGAAGACACCTCTTGGGGTTGGAGCGTCTTTCTTGTGGGCAACCGGTCGAAGGCGCGAACCTTCTTCCACAGGTATGACACGTATCTCAACCATTTCACTATCTTTCTTGAAACACACACTTTTTTTCACTTTTGTGTAGCTAGTGGGTGCCGATGTTTTTAAAATAGAAAGGGCAGAAAAAGCACTTGTAAGCATTGGAAGTTTGTCCACTACTACAGGATCAGTCACCACCTCAGCCCTACAAGAAGGCACCTCTAAATCAACACTCTTTGAAGTAGAAGGCCGCCCAGATATTTTGGGAATTCGTGGAAGATCATTAATGCTTCTTGCTGGGGCAGAGGATAATCGTGAGTCACGCTTCTTGGGCTGTGAAACACTGGCTTTAACACTATCTTGTTTTGGAACATTACTTGATAAGGAGGCTTTCTTTACATCAAAGTGCAAGTTCTTTTCTGCAGAGGATAAAACTGATGGTTGTGCTGCCTCAGAAGCTTTCACAATATTTCTGGTCTCAGCTTCTTCTGTCAAGAAAGCGCCTCTGTTTCTGTTGGTCACCTTTATTCTTACTTCTGCAGGCACCTTCATCATAGAACGTTGCTTTGAAGCTGCTGCGACAGCTTTTTCCTTTTCAGAGATGGCTTTGAGCTTTTCTTTACGCTGATCTGAAATTTGCTTCTTTTCATTGGCAGTAAGAAAATGCGGTTCATCTGAGATGGATGACTGGACACGGATTTTCTTTTTACTTCCTCCCTTCTTTCCTTTCCTACTGATGGTATCACTGACAATGTTTCTAGGTTTTGCTTGCTGCTGGGAAACATCTACTTGCTCCTTGAACATTCGAATTGCCACTTCTGCAGAAATGCCTCTCTGAAAAGCCCGTCGTCGTGGCATTGGCGGTGGATCAATTACCAATGCCCTAACACTAAGTTTTGGTTTCTTAACTGATTCTTCACATTTCAATTTCACTTGATCTGTTTTCAATAAATCACCAGGTAACATTTCTTTCTGTATCATTTCACCGTCAGTTGTCGCTTGCAGCAGATCAACATTCTGCAAGAACTCTTCTCTTAATCCACTGTCCCTTTTCTCTTTCTCTGCTTTCAGTTGTTGTGGAGGCAACTCTGAGATTGGTTCAGGTTCAAGATCTTGCTGTGAGAGCCTTCTGAACCACTGATCATCATTTAAATTTGATTCATCATCTTCAAACACTACTACATCTTCATCATCATCTTCAAGAACTTTAGTATACAACAGATCTTCACGAACTGCATCCTGATCTTCTGTTTTAAGTAACTCCAAATCTATCTTCTGGTCATCAAATATCTGTGATGATGGGAAGTACTCTTCATCATCACTAATAACAATTATGTCTTCATCAAGTGTATAATTTAAGGACTCAGTGTCGGGTTTTGAAACAACCAATCCATTTGATTTCAATGCATTCTCATCTAGCCTTTCCAATTTCACAACTGCCTTGGTTCTCTGAATACTGGCAAGTAACTGATCATCAAGTGTCATTCTTTTCACATAGTTTGAATTACTGACTCTGATTTTGTTGGCCTGTGCAATCTCTTCCCCCCTGTCATCATCCACAGAGTGGACTGATGTTTCTGGCCTGTTGTTATGTGTCTTAATCTCATCTACAGATTCTGTGCTGCTTATCCTAGAGGATTTATCATGAACATCAGTATTACTTTCTGGGGTAGATGATAATGTCTTTTGGGCTTTCAGCGGACAAGGACAAGAGTTGTTCTTCACCTTGGTTTGTTCAGCTGATTTTCTTTTATGATTCTTCTGTAATTCACCATCATCACTTGATGTTTCAGAAAGGATACGTCGCCTCTGTGATTTGCTCTTCTGTTTAGTCACCAACTGTCCATCATCATCTTCATCATCATCATCATCATAATCTTCTTCTTCTTCTTCTTCTTCTTCTTCAAGAGGTGTTTCTGTTGATGAAGGTCTAACAACTGGCCGCTTTAAAATACCTGAACTTTCTTCAAATTTAATAACTGACTCTGAAGGGCCGTCATGAGAGGTACAACAGTGGATGCTAGACTTGGCTTTGTTTCGATCACCATACAAAACTCCTTGAAGCCGAACAGATAACTGAGCATCCTCCTCCTCCTCCTCTTCGTCTTCTTTTTCACCCCCTCCTCCACCTCCATGCCTGATAATAGTGCTACTAACTGCAGGTGATGGATTATTCTTCAATAAATCTGACTTTGTGTTTGTTCCAATTTTATCATCTCTAGTCATATGTAATTCATTTTGCTTGCAATATATAATACTGGACTCCCTGGAAACTAAACTGGCACTAGATTTACATGACCCATCCAAACTTTGTTCAGCGACTTTCAGTTTCTTCTTTGTATGCTTCTCTGAATGTTTTGTACTTTCTACCTTGGACGATGCGTTTCTGAATGGTTCAACCTTTACAATTTTATTTCCTGAAGGTATACCCTGCAAAGACACTGAAACTTTTTCACTTTTCTTCTCTGACACTTTATTCTGGACAGAAGTTTCTTCTGAATGACATTTCTGGGCTGCAGAAAGTTCTCTGCTGCCAATGGTTCCATTATTGGAATTTGAACCCCTAGATTTATTCTTTCCATGAAATGAAAAAACAACTCCATCTTTTTCATTTTTCACACTTCCTGTCTCACTTCGCTCAATAACTTCCGAAGGCAAAGGAACAGGGTCTACCATGCTCTGTAATTCATTTTTAAATGTTCTAATTACTGAATCGCACTTAGACTTTGGGGCATCAGAAATTGGACTGACAAATTTTGGTTCATGAGCTCTGGCTACAACAGTTTCAGATCTACTCAAAGTATTTATACTGTTGTTTAATGCAATCTCCTCATATTCTGGAATTACAACAAACTCTTCACTCTCAGATGGAGTTATTTTGATACATGTTTTGTCAGGTGGTCTTGGATTCTGCTTATGTTCAGGTTGCTTCACTTTCTTTGTGTCATCAGGGTCTTCAGATATTTGTTTCCATTGTCTATCCACACTGTGAGGAAAGGTAACAAAATGTGTCATGGATAAATCAGAAGATGCTTCCCACTTCATGGTGGCATTTCCCAACCTTGGTACCTTGGGACTAAAGACATGTTCCTCCTCAGCATGCCGTTTCTTGGCTATCGCTACCTGTGAGTCTCCATTTTTCTGTGGGCCACTTTTTGAATCTGAATCCGTAATGATTACCACTTCACCTCCATCTGTATCTGAATCTGGCAAAGTAGGGGGTAGAATCTTCTGGAAAGAAAAATAAACATCTTTAAGACATGTTTCAAATTCGTAACTGTGACTGCGTGTTTCTAAACCTTATTGTCTCATACCTTAATAAAATCTTGGATTCTTAAAACCATGCTGAAATGTTCGATAGCTGAACAATGTGAAGGTTATACAAGTACACAAAAGCTGAGTGTGTTCCTTCAAACTGGTTCTCAATATTTCTTTCCAACACAGATAAGAACATGAAGTACTGTTACATTAGAGCGTCCATTAACCAATCATAGCCTTCTTTCATGAGCACACTGCAGAACCAAAGAATGAAATTAAAGATGGATGCCACAACTTTCAAGGCATTAAACAGCTGGTGCAGGGGTATTAGAATTCTCATAATTTTATGGTAAACATGTACAGTAAAGTCCCCACTGTCTGGCATGTATGCGGAATGTGATTTGCCATTTACTTTAATCTGCAAGTTTCATTAGAAAAACTCTTATAGAAACATGCAGAAAGTCAAAACAACAAACTTTTGTTCTGGTTCTTGTGTGAGAGTCTTCATAGGTGACACAATGGATTGCTGGATGAATAATTTAGGATATATATATCATAATGCAGTCACTAATTCAACTGGCCTCCAGTATACTGGCACATGATTGAGGGAGTAAGATGGTTTGCACTGTTAGTGGTAGACAGGTGCCATACCACATGATAGGTAAACGTATGCTGATAGCGAATTTATTTTTGAGTAACTTTATAAAAATGGTCAATTTCTTTGAAATGTTGCCTGCTGAAATTGATTTTGGATGCTTGGATACCAGATGATTAGGAATTCACTGTATTCAGTTTATGTTTCCAAGAACACTCAGGTTTCAATTAGTGTTGGATAAAATATTAAGTATCCCGTATCTAAACACGTCATCATCAGACAGTGATGTAAATTGTTATATCATAATTACAAAGTTACTAGACTCTCTTTTCAATGTATGGTTGGAACCAGAATTGCCATACTGCTGACTTCAATGAATATATAGGACTTTTCTACCATGACTGTCTACTCAGAGTACAACATACTCTTAAAGATGTCTAAGACATCATCAATTTCACAATAGAATCAGAAGAAAATCTGCATCAGTACTGTCCACAGTGGAACTCTGCCATTACGACCTACGCTTCACAGCTGGGCTCTGAAGTGTTAATAATTGGTTTGTTGGTNGGATAAACCTCTACTCATCTGTCAGTGGTGCCTGTGGTTGCTGGTGTTGTGTGTCTTTACAAAGTGCAGTTGCACAGGACTGCTCTGCTGAGGTGAACTTGGAGAAGAACGTCCTCCCAAAGGACCCCTTGGGAGCCCGCTGTGCTCTTCCCCTTTCACGCCTCAGTACGATGCTGGATAAGGTTTCTCTCTTACTAGGGTGCAACTACACCAGCTCGGCATGGATTCTGCATCTGTTTCTTTAGGGTATTCCTATGCAGGTAGCCACCACCACACCACAAACAACAAGGGAGTTGCTTGCAGTTGGCCCAGTCATGGCTAGAGTTTTGGCAGTTGTAGCACTGTGTAAGGCCTGTCTGAGCTCTGTATGATTCTACCTTAATAATAATAATAATAATAATATGGTTAAGGCTATTCAGATTAAATATCTCTTGACATTTTACATTTCTTGTTAAGGAAACAAGGAACAGGGGGGAGAGGTTCATGTGGGTTTGTCCGTTGTGTGCTGAGTAGCCGTCATATGCCTCACGTTCATGACGTTGAAGACTACGACCTCAATGTTGCTGGAAATATCTTCCCTGGCATGTCTGGGGGAAGGTGATAGGCCTTTTGGAAATTGGGGAGAAGGTAAAATAGAGAAAATTATTTTTCCCCAAGTCAAAGTTCATCGCTGAATGGTCTGCCATTTCTTTAGCTATGATGTGGGCTTCACTTTGTGTCTTTCAAAATATGTACTCTCCTCTGACATAGTTTTTAAGTCCCTTTGTAGTTGAATGAGGTTCGTGGTTGAGGTCATCACTACTGGTGGCAGCCTACCTGGTGTTCTGGGAGCTTCCTATCTTGGTATGGTGTTTTCTGTGACAGTAATATCTGTGTACATGTCAGCAGTTCTGAGAGGTGCGAAGAAATTGTGAGTCAACACTGCTTTTGGTTGCAGCTTGACAACTGTGGATGTTGGGACTGGTTTAGTCAATTTCCTGGCTGTCTGTGAGGCATTATTAGAGGCTTTTTTTTATTGCTAGTGGGGTGGGACTGAGTCCCTTGTATTGCGGCCACTTCTGGCCCATTGTACTAGCCCCAGATGATAGGTGAGGGTGATTGTGGAGCAATTGGTGGAATGAAGATTGGCAGGGGAAACCGAAGTACTCGGAGAAAACCTGCCCCAGTGCCAGTTTGTCCACCACAAATCCCACTTGACCAAACCTGGGATCAAACCCGGGCCGCCACAGTGGGAAGCTAGCGACTAACCGCTTGAGCTATGGCGCAGCCCATTATTAGAGGTAAGCCTCCTGGGTCTCTTTACTTCCTGGAAGTCTTCATCATGAGCCGCTAATTCCACTCAGCTTTTGTTCACTACACCACTTTGTTCTGCCTGTGCAGTCACCTTCTGGATGGACTTCAGTTCATTCAATGTTATTGTGTACAAGACGTAAAGAATGCTAAAAAGCGGCTTTCCACCTAAACCTTTGCAAATGTTTTCTCTTTCTCCTCTGCACTATTCACAACAGAGGTCCACTCAGAACCGTCCCCCCCCCCCCTTTGGGCAGTGTACATCCAGCGAGGTACTCAATGTCACCAAATACTTTTTATACTTGCTGAACTACACAAGCTGCTTCTGGATTCTTACTCATGATGATGTGCCATTCAGATTTCATCAAGGCTACCTCGTTTGCCCAATATTTCCAGACTGCTGGTACTGGGATGTCCACCATTTGAGTGTCCCACCCTGGCACAGCCGGGCTCAAGACCTCATTATACAGCCTTGGGCAGACTGCACTGAAAATATGGTGTCAAAAGATTCTTCTATTGTTGCGTGTGTATTAATTGCTGCAGAAACGCATTTACCGAGACGTTCCTTAGCGATGGCTGTCTCTTCTGGCTCTGCTATTTAGCGTTTCAGGCGTCATGTCACAATATGTAAGATATTTACAAATGCAAGCAACAAAAATTTTACTTCACAAGAATTCAATCTTATGATCCTTTGCACATGGATGCAGCACACTAGCCCAAGAAATAAATCTGATTTTATTCTTGATTTTCAATGCCTATAAGGCCTATTTGGCATTAACAGCACAATATTTGTAGAGCTACCAATCAGTGGAAAGGAATGTAGGGTTTATGACTTCTACACAGACCTTGCTAACTTTTTAACTTGCAAAACAATTTTTTCCCATGCACAGAAAGTTAATGCCTTTTTCTTTAACAACCGCAAGACAAATATATGCACAATGATGACTTCTTTAAGCTGAAATATGTGGGTCCCTTATCGACATTTATTATGTGAACTATGTAACTATTACAGAGTTAAACTGAACATAAACTACCAATGTCTGTTAAACAGAATGATTCATCTTCCTTACAGCAACTACTTTTGAATAGATAAAAAACAATAACTTCATCTGTATCAAGAAATATCATCCTTAAAACTGCAAACAAATATATCACACATTTAAAATTTAACCAGCAAAACAACATAAAGCAAAAAGCATTACCTGAAAGAAACTCTGAAGAAGGCGGAACACATAGCAGTCCGAGCCGGATATTTCGCTTACACCCATGCCAATCAAATCACCATCTTGCAATGGAATCTCTCGCTCTGGCAAAATTCGAGTTTGGTTGATAAATGTTCCATTTGAACTCTGTAAGAAATGTTGATAAAATCAATTATTCACAAACTTAAATCTGGCAACTATATGGTGTGATCAATTAGCTTCCAGACTGACCACAATATGGTACTACTGCAGTTAGGGCAAAATTTCTCTACTATGTGGAGGTAGAGTAGAAGCTATTGAATCATTTGCTATTCTTTCAAAGTGGTAGCTTGTGAAATGAAGTTGTGCGCTGGGCTATTTGTGCTTTATCACAAGAGAGCACATTTCAAACAGCAGAGCACATCAAATTCTACTTCAATTATGCAAACTCCAACAGAAACCCACAAGACATCAGAGCTTCCTTTCAGACAGGAAATGGTAAGTAGAAGTCAAACATTTGATTTGTGGCAAATATCAAGGAACCTGTTCATGAAAACAGGTGTGTCACTTAGCTAACGAGGTGGGAATCTCACCCCCATCAAGTGTCAAGGTCAAGAACGGTGGAGTTGTACCTCCACTCCTCAGACATCTTCATGGTGTGATGATTAACTGATTAAGCACAGGAACAACTTTATTTTTTATAACATGCATTTATTCCTACAGTATGAAAAAAGAAGACCACAAAGTTTTCAAATTTGGTTTTGTTACATATTTAATAATACACAACAAATGAAATACTTACAGACAAATCAACAATTGCAAGATTTACTCCTCTCAGTATAAATTTGCAATGCCTTCTGGATACATAC